CTCATGTAAAAGAAAATAAAGACTGTATTTTGTATGTAATTCGGTAATAAAATGAATTTGTTCACACAGTAACCCTTTTGAATATAAAATTAGTGTTGATATGAATACACACCCAAGGCAAAGATAACATAAAAGCATGAAATAATAGGATTTGCACATAAAACACAAATTAATTGTCAAGCCTTGCATCAAAAGCACTGTCTATTCATGACAGAACTTTTTTTAAATGTTCAATTTAACTGCATTTATTATGACATGATTATTATGACAATGTTTTTTTTTTTAATTAGAGTGTAACTTTTTCAAAATCAGATTAAAGGCATATGAAGAAGAGTACTAAAACATATAATAATATATAAAATAAATATAAAAACAAATTTTATTAAACTAAATATATATAAAATAATAAAATAAAATTATGATATGAATAGATATCACAAATAAAATGAAATGAATGAAATTAAATCAATAAAATCAATAACCTAACTACCTTCCATGTTACTCCCTTCCTTCCTTTACAACCTTTAGCTAAGTTTAAGGGAACATGTTACCGTTTTCAGTGTGTGTGTGTGTGTGTGAGAGAAATATAACAGAAATATTTGTGCAGTTATTCTCAGTGAACAGAGCTGCTAGCTGTCAATCAGAGAGCCTCGAGGAACACAGGACTCTTTGGGTAAGGATCACACGGCAGCTCTGACACGTCTCCACGAGCGCAGCTTAATCACACGGAAATGTGGAAAGAAACGTATTTTGGCAGAGTAAACAGGTTTGTTTTAAGAACTGCGAAAAACACCGGTGAGCATGTGGAACATTCACACAGAGGTGAACTTCACTCAGCACAGCTCACCCACTGTCTCAAAAAACACTCCCGTGTCTCACACATCAGATTTATAAGATGTACAGAGAAGGGAAATCAGTCAGTAATTGTAAAAATGTAAAAAAAAAAAAAAAAAAATAGAATTTGGTATACCATAGAAAAGAACTGTAATGTGATATCTTTAAATATAATCTACTTAGATCACATAATCCAGATTACACATAGCCCGTGTAGCTACCTGACACTGGGCATCACAACAGCGAATCTTAATAACAAATCTTAAAACTATTTCAGATTTTCTCATACAATCATTCTTTATCTTATCCTGCAACCAAACAGCCCTGAGGCAACACGAAGGGAAAAAAAAAACAGGAGGAAGTCTTTCCCCTTCAGACAGAGAGGAGAGAAAATGAGAGAAGCGATGGTCTGCTCTCAAGCTGGAAATGAGATGAGCATGAAAGATGTAGGGAGACAAGGGACGATCATCCTACAAACTCCTGTGTTCATGTTTCATCATCTACTTTTTCTCCAAGCTATTGAAAACAAAGTCACCACCTGCTTCAAGAGCAAGCTAACTAAAACAACTACATGGTAGGAGTGTAACATAATGCCAATGTCTGATTCTTTATCTGTTTAGGTCTGTTTATATTAACCCAGTTATTAATTTTTGTTTAGATCTACCCGCAACATTTTCTAACAAATTTAGTTGGTTCTATTTCCCAAAATCTAGATAAACCAGTAGCTCAATTTAAGCCATTGCAAACTTGACCAGGCAGTTACTAAGGATGAATGAACGAATGCTGTAAATGCATCGCTGTAAAAGCATCATTCATGTTATGAATATGGTCTTCCTTTGTCCTAAGAGCTTCATATCTGACTGCTCATATGTATATATATATATATATATATATATATATATATATATATATATATTTATATGTCTGTATTTGTTTAAAACATATTAAAAACAATTATTATTGACCATGCCATATAGCATAACTCTATATTCATAATGCCAGAAATGGTACTGAATGCTGTCTTCCACTGGCCTCCTTCCTGATTGATCCTGATCTAAGGCTGAGGGCATGGTGAGGCAGAGGATAACCTGCCATGGCAGAGAGAATGAGCACTGAGTGCCACTTACTGAGCAGCAACACAGATCAGGTTTGTAGACAAAAACAGAGATAACTAATAAGGCTCGCAATGTTAATAAAGGAATGTCAACACAAAGCTATAAAAATACACTCACTGGGACAGAAGAGAGGAGTCTATTGCCTATAGAGTCTATAGGACTAGAGTCTATAGTTAGCTCCATATGGTTTACATGTGGTCCAACATGTGTAAGAGGCGAGAAGACTAATTCATTAAGTTGGATCAAATTAAAATCCACCAAGATTAGAATCCATTAAGTTTCAATTAATAATTTCCCATGTTTGTGGATGCATGTCTCAAAATGGATCATTTTAGGCATAAAAATGGACATCAGCTGCCCATATTTTTTGCCTTTTACAACCAAAGACAGAACACAACAAAGTTTTGACAGCGTCAGGCATTCTGGACCAAAATCTCTGAATGTGTCACTACTACACAGAGCTAATGGGAGCATTTCTCCAGTGCAGCGTGTGGGACTCTAATTTTGGCAGTAAGATTGTTTTACACTGATTAGCATAAATAGATTGCTAGTGGTCCCACAACAATACAGTTTATAATGAGCTGCCACAATTATGCCAAGGGCTTAGTTTGATTTGCAAAACATTTTTGGCACATAACCAGACTCATCAGACCGTTTCTGAACATTTCTCGGGGCGGACATCCTAATTTAGGATTCTTTAACCCCGCCCCTTTTTTGGATAAAAGTACATTTTCAGTATTTTCTGCACCTGATTTCGGAAAAATGTTTTCAGAGACTTTGAGAATGTGTTAGCTTGCTAAGTATGGAGCAGTGCTTAACCAAATGACCAAATATGGTCTAATATTGCGTGTTGCACTCAAATAGTGTATCCAAGAAGATTTCACATTTGTCTCGCAAGCCAGACCTCCAGAGAGTCTGGTATATTTGCTGGTATGTTTCATTAATAAACATGGCCAAGAGCCGCCTACTTTGACAGGAAGAGGCAACTTAACAGACATAGCAGATGATCAACCTCAGACCTTTTCCTGCTGACTGTTGGCAAACATGAAGAATAACTTGTTCTCTCACCACTAAGTACTTCTTACACAACTCTTGAATAACTTTGAAGGATGAAATGTCTCCAGTGACTACATCTTGCACGGAAAGGCTCAGTGTTCAAAATTTTCCTGCTTGAAACCAGCACACAGAAGTGTGTGTACACGGAAGACCCAAGGGGCCAATCAGGTTTCAACCTTCAACATTCTGAAGGTTGTGTCCAGAAAAGTGTACAAAATATATCAGATGTGCCACATCCTTTGGGCAGAGCTTATTGTAGCTTTCAATACTTTGGAAGTCGAAATTTTTCTACGGTTATGATGTAACGTTGATGTTTCTCAATATGGCTGAAGTTCAGTTAGCGGCTGAAGTAAACTTACATCGGCATTTTAGCCATATAGAACCTTAGCATAGTATTTAACCAACCAGTGTTTCAGGAAAATGTTGACATTCTTCTGGAGTATGCTGTATTTCCAGTGTCACTAATCATATAAAAGACTTTACTAGCTAGTTAGTAAATTAATCGGTATCTAGCTAGCAATGTGAATGAATGAATTTCTTATCTTAGAGACTAGCTAGTTAGCTGCCAGCATTTTTACTTACCACAAAAATAAAACAAACCCACACAATGACTAACTATAATTAGTTAGCATTTTTGTACATTTCTTCTCTTCAGTCTTTTTCATTGCCTCAAACATTTTAAGCTAACTAGCTAGCTAGCAAACCTCTTATCCTAGCAAGTAGCTAGTTAGCTCCATTTTTTTTTAACTTGAGCTACATAAAGAATGGAAAAAACAAAAGGACTAAATAGAAGGAGTTCATTTTAAGAAATATTTCTCCTCTTCAGCCTTTAGTCACAAAAAATGGGCAAGATGTACATCGGAAACCAAAATAAAGATAAAGTTCACTGTTATTGCCTGGTTTTAGCAGGCATAAGTAAGAAGTAACTGTATGTGTCTGAGACATAAACTGTTCTGTCATCCAAAGTAAAAATATTGCACATACTGCTTCTATAATAAATTGAATCTCAGTGTGAAATCAAGGTTCCAGTTTCACTAAAAGCCATGCCCCAGTGTCACTTAGTCCATGTCCGAGCAACAGAATGAGATGCCAGTCTTCATCTGAAAATGCCTGACAGGGAGAAAAACACGAGCGAGATGGCCAGGCTGACCCAGCAGGCAGCATAAACATGATGGCAATTACACGCTTACATCCCTCAGCATGCATCATTAAAATACGACACAGATGCAGTGAAGCGCAGGACAGGAGCAGTCTGGCATTATGGCATTTCGCTAACCTTTCCAGCCCAAGTCACGGCATAATTCATCTTCCTCAGGAACGGTCGACGACACGCTTCAGACCCAGCATCTCAGAGACGCGTGGGTGGCGAGGGTGAAGGGCGATGTGTGTAACTTTATAGCAAATGAGAGAGATTTACAGGCACATTCTAGCAAAATAGCTTGATATGAGTACGTATAATTATTTAATAAATTAAATAAATTAAAAAAAAAGTTGGAGTGTTTCCTTACCACTTTGTATTACTGCTTGTTAACCACATGCTGTTCTTTTAAACCAAAGTCGGTGATGACTTACAGCCACACCACTCCTCGAGGGTATTACGATTTGTCTTGTTTACGTTCTTGTTGTCTTTTCATATTGCTCAAGAGTTCACAATAGGGAAACAGTGAGGAAACCAACCACAATGAGGAAATCATCCATATCTTTCGCATGGAACTGTGGATAGTGTGTATGTTTCGGAATCATTTAAGGTACATAGAAGGACGCTAATTACCATTTAACAGTATCCTACATACACCTTTCTAGGTAAAAGATACAGTCTGTTGTTGTTCCTCTTCTTTCGGCTGCTCCTGTTAGGGGTCGCCACAGCGGATCATTGGTCTGCATATTTGATTTGGCACAGTTTTTACACCAGATGCCCTTCCTGTCACAACGCTCCCTAATTTTATCCGGGCTTGGGAGTGCACTGCCTTGTGCAACCCCAGTGGCTGGGGTCAGCTCCCTGGCTGGGAATCGAACCCAGGCCGTGGCGGTTAGAGCGCCAAGGCCTAACCACTAGTCCTCCATGGACCCAGGTAAAAGATACAGTCTACATGCTAAAAAAAAAAAAAGGTGTATGCTATAGGGTACCACCTCAGTGGCAAAGAAAAGTACTGTTTAGTGTCTTTTTTGGAGAGTGTACAAAATAAAATAAAAAAAACAAGCCTGACATATTAAAAATGTCTCAGCTGATTGACTACCAGTGAGGATATAGTAAGGTGCATTGGGTAGTATTTAGGCTCTAGTGGTTACAAGTTGGTACAGCAAGCAGCGTTGCCGTATCACAGCTTCAGGGTCTAGTGGTTCAATCCTGAGCTGTCTGTGTATGAGTTTTCACCAAGTTCTCCAATTTCGTCCCACCTCCTAAAACTTGCCGATTGGTGGATTGGCTACACTAAATTGCCCAAAGGTGGGAATGTGTGCCTGCATGGAGTCCTGCGATGGACTGGTGTCTGATTTGATTATAGGTTCTGGATCCACTAAAGTGGTTACTGAAGATTAATCATTGATGAATTTCCAAGGTTCAAAGGTGACCTACGACTCTATAATGATTTGTTTACTTCTCAATGTACGTGAAGCCCCGCCTCCCAGAATCAACTGTGGCTGATGGAGCTAACTTTATCATCTTATTCTAATTGGTGTGTAAATTATAAACACACAAAATACTGATACATGTGCCTTGTAATGGACTGGCAACCCATCCAAGTGTGTATTCCCACCTCACACCCAGTGTTCCTGGGATGGGCACCGGATCCACCCCAAACCCAATCAGGATAAAGCGCTTACTAAAAGTGAGTGAGTGAGAAGTGTGATAATGACACTTACTGAACGTTACTAGAAGGAGAGAAAATCATGTCATTATGTATAGGTGGTCCATATGAATTAACACGGCCATCACATGGCATGCGTGTTCATTATAACGTGCTTTGATCAGATCGCTAAAAGGTTTTGGGTTCATTTGATAGGAGAAATACACACAAGCTTACACACACACACACACACACACACACACACACACCCAACACATACACTACGAGGAGGAAGAGAGGATGTGCAAATTAACATGCTACAATACACACAGATGGGCAGCTATGCCAAACCATGGAAACACACACACACACACACACACACACACAGCTTCAACATATGCCATGGAAAAACTTGTCCATGTGTTTATTCATAAGGGTTTCCCCTTCACTCAATACTCACCCTGTTCCTCACACACCACCCCTCTCTCTCTCTCTACACACACACACACACACACACAATTTACTGTAACAACATTTACTCAGCACTATCAGTCATACACACACCTTCTTTTTCCATAGCTCTTCATACATAGTTAATCACTGTTACTATAACAGCTACACAGATTGACCCTGTGAAGGAGGCGTGGCTTCGAAGCCTGTCAGTCACAGTGATGTGGGCGTGGCCTCCGAGATAGAGTTAATGTTATGGACAGGTCAATTGTGCCCCTACTCACCCCTAGACAGATTTTACCTTTTCCGAAACCAAAACACCATAAAAATTAATACGCTTCTCCACTTCCTGACCGCAGACCCTAAATGGGTCTCTCTCTCTCTCTCACACACACACACACACACACAGAGCAGCTAGTGTGCTACTGACCGTAAAGTGATCAGTGAAGTTAGACAGAGGGGCTCTGTAGCCGTGACCACCAGTGTCTAAAATGGCTCCTTACTCCATATTAGCATCATTTTTGACCCCTTGCTACACGAGACACTATGTTTATTCTCAGCTAAAGTAGCAATCAGACCAAAACAAATTCACCCAGCAGAAAAGTGGGGATGGGAATGCTCGCTTGCCTCATGATTCGATTCGTTTCCTATTCAGCGGGTTACAATTTGATTCTAAAATGATTTCTGATGCATCTCCATTACTCGGGCTTATGTGTTGCTGTACAGCTTCGGTATAACCACGTCTGTGAAGAAATGCCGGGATGGGATATTGCAGTAGGAGAAAACAAAAGCCTTAGTTTGCTACAACTGCGTAAGTGCGTAGATCTTTAGCAAAAAAAAAGTTATGCTAGATTTAGTAATCCCTATCAGTTTTGCCCTACCAGAGTTCGGTGCGTGTTGAAAGGTTCCCTGTTTTGCTATGACCATTTTTATTGCTAACACGAGCTCTGGGAGGAAACGTCTGATGTGATTTGTCATAGTGGTGGTGTTCAAATTCACGCATGTAATCATGGCATAACAGAGTTACAAATTGCAAAGCTCTTTTGTTCCCAAAGGTCAGCTTTAAAAAAAAAATAATAATAATAAAGGGTGTTGGTTTGACTTCTTGCTGCAAATCTCTCTTTTATTTTGAAAGTAAACACAACTTCCTGAAGCTGTGTAGCGCTACATTTATGTAGCTACACAGCTTCCAGAATTAAGCAAATCTTTTTTTAAAAGTCTGTTGAGAATTGTGCTTTGAATAATCAATTCTTAAGTTTCTTGAATCGATGCAGAATCTTTTATGAAAGTACCGTGACACATCTTATGAACGATTATTCCTCCCACCCCTACGCAAAAGCCATTTCACTGAAAGGGAAAGGGCGTGCGTTGGGAAATATGCGTACTTGCTTCTGGTAGTTGTTGCTTTCTTTTCATGTTGACTTTATCTAGGTGAATTTTTGCGAACCTCAGTCACGTGAGCCAATGGAAAACAAGAAGGAGACTGTGGTGTCTTTGGTCGGAAGAAAATGGAGGACGTGCTATTTAGCGCCTCACACCAGACTTTTACCATATTTCTTTTTTTTTTTTAAACTGTTGCTTGTCACATTCCGGAAAAAAAACCCTGAAACAAACCTGAAAAACCAACAAGAATCAACATATTGTTGAATCGTGCAACTTGACGGCACCATGTGATCGGTTACCCTGCACTGACACTAGCAAGCGACAGTCGTTTTTATTAGTTCAGATAAGAAATGATAGTAGCTATACTACATAGCTTCTAAAGCTATCTAGTTAAACATTGATTAATTAATGCACTAATCAGTGTAAAAATTGGTTGTTTGATTTGCGTTACATGCTTCATAGACCACATGCGCCATAGTAATAGTCCGAGGAATCATTTGAGCCAATCGTTTGGGTTTAGTCTTTTTGCTGCATACTTAATTTGCATAAAATTGGGGAAATCTCTATTTAAAGTCGCTTGTCGTGCTGCTGCTTTGTCACTTGCTGCTGTCTCTGAAATCGCAGCTCCGTATCGTGCATGTACACAGAAATTAAATGATCACTTGTTGGCTGGATGTGAGTGATCAAGAGAAACTATTGCTGTAAAAAAGTTAGAAAACAGTGAATATGATTTTGTTAAATAAATTACTGTAAAGTGAACCAGAACTTCTTGTATTAGATCTCTACATTCCTACAATGCTGCACATTTAAAAGCTAAATATAGCAATATAGCAATATGTTAGCAGTCTACGCAGCCAAATTGAGTGGATGATGATGATGATGGTTTGAAGGTGTTTTCCAGCGGACGCTGAATTAATGATCTGTAAACACAGCCTGGCTATGGAACTGATTAATGATGAATATACATGGCCTGCACCCAGAGAGGTATAAATGTACCAGCCAACTTCCCTAATAGATCTGGGATTGATTTGTCCCTTACCCACCATTACCACCAAAACATTAGTCATGCTCTCAAATCCTTCACACACACTTTTCCCTAAAAAAAAAAAAGAAAAAAAAGAAAATGTGTTAGTTTTGCATTCCCGTCTAAGCGATGATGTACGACGATACAGTAAGAGGCAGTGTTGGGGGAAAAAAAAATCATGGTTCATGACTGCATTGAGAACAGACCTCCACTGGAATTTCTACAAGAAAATACTGTGCTTTGTAGTTAGATACAGCAGTCTGTGTGGAATTCTGGGAAAATATTTACAGTATTAGCAGATTATACTGTGTCTGTATAGCTACCACTGTATATACTGCTATGATTATATTGTAATAATACAGTAAAACATACATTATCATTAACTTTACTGTAAAACTAGGCACTAAATCTTATATCTGTAGCAGCAAACCAAGCTCGCCTGTATAATTTTTTTTCCAATTTGTATTATTTCTATTATTTTGTCATCCTAATAAGCATAGCTTCAACAATTTCAGTGAGTGCAGCAAGTTTAAAACAGAAGTAAAGCTAGAAACTAAGAAGCCAGACCAATATTTTATTCATATAACGTTTTTTTTTTCTGTATTTTTTTCTGTGGTGCCCTGCTGATCCTGTCACCGTGTAACGTACGGCTCATGAAGGCAGGTGTGTAAAAACACAGCATGGTATTTATTACAGCTAATCCGAAAATCATTGTCAGAGTTCATAGAGGGGGTCAGAACCCAAGCAGACAGCAACAAACCAGATTAATCCCTAATCAACACACAAACAAAAGGCAAGAACTGGAAACAAGGCTCAGCACATAAGCAAAACAGCATGGTAAGACTTCGCGAGCAGGAACACAAACCACAAGCTATAAATAACCAAACTAATCAAGGAGTGAACTCAGGACAGGTGCACACATTAGGGGAATTAACCAATGAGAAGACAGGGTAGACACAAGATAAAAATAAATGGCCGTGACATAAACAAAACCCATGACATGAACTCATAACAAATAGGAAATGTTACATGGTTGAGTGGGGGAATACGTGAACCTATTGTTCTCATTGTACCATTTGTTACTGTGTAATATTTTATTTAAATTATTTCTTATTGTTTAAAGGTGCACTAGGAAAAATTTGTTTAATAAAAAAAAAAAAGGTCTCTAACGGTTAAATGGGTGGAGATTTTTTCCCCCTCATTGAGCCCGCCCTCATTTTCACCCACATACACAAAGCTCCGCCCTCCAAACTTATAGTGGTTCAACTAGATTTAGCATGCTAACTAGAGTTACTATTAGCAAGGACTGTCATGACATCACTTCCAAGTGAATTCAGACATTCAAGATGTGAAGAGGCGTTAGGGGCGTGTCTATAAAATGACTGACAAGAGGCAAATCCAAATACAAACAAACATTCGGGACC